GGGGGGGGGGGGGTCATGACCCTACCTCCTTCGGTTTCTGAAAAATAAATCACACCTGTCCTCGCCCCTTCACCTAACCCCAGCAGCTGAAGTCGCAAAAACAACGGCACTGTGAGGGCGTTTTGAACTATTTTATCCACTCTTTACTGCAGTAAAATTAACCAACAAAACAGTTACAAGAGCGAAGTAGCGGTTTGTTTGTCAAATAAGATAGTAATATTTTTGTTAACAGTTATATTTTTCTTTCCCATTCACTTATTATCACAGGTCCTTGCTAACATTTAGCCCCGCAAAAATTAAACCACTTACTTCAACCACAACACGAATGTCACCTTTAATGAAGATGGATTAGTATCGTTTAATTAATTAATTTGCAGAAAGTCTTTGACAGTAAAAGAACCTGTCAATATTCCACACATAACGCAAAAACATATATTCTTCCTTCTTCCACGCACAAACTGGGGTACATAGTTGAACTAATTTTGAAATGACCCATGCGCTACCTCCAGAATAACGTCAAATGTCATATTTCTTTACTTGAATCTGTTTTTAAATTGTTTTCTTTTGCTAAATTCTTCTTTTTACAATAGTTTGTAATCTAGAATGCCGTATTACACAACCTGAAGGGTTCAAAAAGAGAACTAGTTTTGGAAACATGTTGCACATTTTCTCTTGAAATATTTTGCAATTTAATTACTAACTTCAGATTTTAGCGCTCTCTATTTGGCGTACTCACTGTTTCACAGTAAGAGAAAACACAGTGCGCGATGATTGACGTTTGTTTATATAACCTGCCAATCAAGCTGTTATTACTTGACAGCAGCTATCAAAACTAACTGAATTTGATTGGCATCTCGTCAATCAAAGGGTATAGGAAGCTTGAACTTAACGTGCTCGACGACTATAGTGATCTACTGTGTAATGATTGTGATTGACGTTTGTTTATATAACCTGCCAATCAAGCTGTTATTACTTGACAGCAACTATCAAAACTAATGAATTTGATTGGCATCTTGCCAATCAAAGGATTTAAGGTTTTTTTAATTGTTCGGAGAGAAGAGTGTAGTAATTGCGTTTGACGTTTGTTTAAAAAAAAACGTCATTCATAGTCGTGTGCGCTTGACAGCTTCCATCAAAGCTGAATTAGCCTGTTTGAATTTGATTCATACCTGTCTATAACAATACATGTCGTAACATTCTGGAGGTAGGGGGCATTTTCTTTTCTTTTTTTTCTTGTAGCGCATTAAAAAACATCGGGTTCTTTATTTCAACAGAGAGACTGAAATTTAACAACGTGAAAGAATCCCGGGTTCTTTCACAGGCGTTTTTAAATGTACTAAAATCAGTTGTCATTCTTTTTCTGGATATGATGTAAAATGACTATACATGAATTAACGTTGTTGACGATGTTTGTTGCTCTATAATCCTTTTCTTTGGTGCTCGTACGAAATCTGAACTTCGTATACGAACTGAACATATTACTTTTTTTTAAGGATCATTTTTAAAAAACGAATGGTATAAAAAGTAAAACCTTATCATTTTTTTCATGAACTACGGAGAGAAAAGACCGAGATAATGATGTTAGTGACCAGGTAAAACCAGGTAAAATTAAAAACTACCGGTTTTGTTCGTTCCTTATAAAGGGCCGGGGCAATTAGAAGCCCGTCTCTGTATATTGACAGGAGCGTGCGTGAACACTGTTGTTTTCAATTAAACTACACAATAAGATAAAACTGCCAAATTAAAACTAAAACAAGTTTATGCAATGAGTTAACAATCTTTCGAGCATCTTTCGAGCTTTAATCTGCTACATATTGCTAGTACTTCATAAGTATATATGTAAAAACTCCAGATTTCAATAACGTACATGAAAATAAATAAACTAATAGTGGAATAAATCGGTCTGGTTTAATCAAAGACTTGAAATTCTTGTTTTAATTTATTGAAGTTGTTCGTTCAGTATTTTATACTGTATTTCATCAGATTGGTAAAAAATCTTTTCATTATACACGTATATAAAACGGATGCTACGCCGTAAAAGAATTAATATTTGATCGAATATTTACTTGAAAACATACTTTTTTTATCTTATTTATTTTATTCTATTTTTTAATTAACAGAATTAATTCAGCATAAACAACAGCATCTTTGTTTTGCCTCATCAAGCACATTCTATGAATTTTTGTCCGAAGGCGCATATATTTATGTAAAAGATTTGTTATTGTTCTTATTGTTCTTATATTCTTATTGTTCAACCTCTCTCTCCCTCTTCATTTATTATAAACTATTTTAATATCCATATACGTAAGAATGATTTAGAATTTACTCAATGGGGAATCAGAAATTGACACAGGCTTGATATAAAAAGTCGTTCCATTTATTATTGAACTGGCTCTTTTAATGGGAGACAGTAGCGCGACTTCTCATGAACGGGGCAATTTTTGTAGAGAGCAATACTCCATACGCTGTCTACTATAGCAGGCCCGTAGCCAGGGGGGGGGGGTTCAGGGGGTTCGAACCCCCCTTTTTGCTGGAAAAAGGTCCACACTAGGTAAAATTTGACCTGGGTACATGGGGATTATATGGTAAAATGTCCACTTTTTTAGAAGAAGACCCCCCTTTGAAATTGCTGGCTACGGGCTGTATAGAGACTAGTCTCGCCTAGGTTTGTTAATTTTTTTCATACAAGGCAGCCTATCATCATTTTGAAGATCAATATTTGCTTTATATGACATAATCACAACATCAATGGCTTATTTCAAAATATATTGGGGGAAGGCCCCCTCCTCACACACCTACGGCTGCCCAAGGCAGTCGGAGTGCGGGCTATAAAAAGAATGGTGTTTTTAAAGCCCCCTGCTCACTTTTTTCACGTGAACACAGGAAGGGACAGGTTGGTTCTTCTATTTCTTCTTCTTCTTTTTTGTGGGAGCGCAAACTGGTCGAAAGTTAACACTTTTTGAAACCTTTCCTGCCGTCCGTGAGCACAACCAGTACAACGCATGAATTTTGTGCCGTCACAATGAGGCCGAGACCGCAACACAGGCAAAACACTGCAGCCTGAGCAGTGGCTGGTTTAGGGGGGGTCTCAGGGGGGTCCTGCCCCCCCCCCCCTTCAGTTCCTGGATATTAAACCACACCAATACTCCTCTCTTGACCAGCTTAATCATAGTTCTAGACCGTAACAAATGGCACTGTTCGCCCTCTAAAATACCAAAATTTTTCGGTACCCTTCAGCGGTACCCGAACCCCACGTCAAAGGGGATGGAGGAGGGGGCGAGGGTCAGCTTCGCATCTGAGGCCTGTCATCCGCCCCTGAGTAAACTGTTACCATTCGTGCATGATAACTGGTTATTCACTGGTACATGGAAGTATTGGCAAGTGTGACCGCCCATCTCATAATCCCAGCAGTCGAGTTAAAACTGGCGGCGAATGA